ACACTGAAGAAGCCTTTAACTAAATGACTGAAGTACAAAGGGGTTATTAGCACAGGATTAACTTTATAGAGGCTATAAAATAACTTGAATATAGTCCCATATTAATTGTTAAAGGAAAAGTAAGACAAAAAGGTATGGCATTAAACATTGATCTGCAATGGTTTTCAAGAAGCTCTTCATATGGGAGCTCTCTGGTGCTCAGTGGTGAGCAGTGCAGACCTGCTATAGCAATGTAAATGATTTCAGAAGGATTGGCCATGATACATTAAATATTTAATGTTAACTGCTCCAAACGTGTGCCATCATCCAGAGATTTTATTAGCCCCATGAATTTATGGAGGCTCCTTAAGATGATGTTTTATTGCTTTCTTGACAAAATAATTAAAAAGGAAAACATTTAAAGGAGAACATTAAGATGTGACTGGTGTTTTTTTCTCACAGATCAAGGGATGAAGAAATGAGATAAATCCTGTTGTGATCTATGGCAGCTAAAAAGCCTGAATTCATAAGCCAAGCTGGGACCTTGCTGCCATTTAAAGCTGGGGGTGAGGGGAGCTGCATTGCCCCTCCTCGACTTTGTGACACATTCTCACTCCTGCTCAGACGACCGGTTGGATTAGCTCACCAATCCAGTCAAAAACAGCTTTTGGCAAGGCTAGTTTTATCAGGGTTAGATGAGCTTGGTAGGATTTGGAAAGGAGGACATCCCAGCAACAGCTTCCATGCAAATAAAAAACCTTCTGCTGAAAAATGCAGCCCTGGCTGCACTGCAGTGCTTTGCAGAACTGGACTTACAGGCAGTAGTATGTAAAATCCCTCTAAATTTGGAAAAAGAGAAAAGTCCAGAACAAGTTACGGCTTCTGCCCCCCTACTGCATTTCTCAGACTGGTGTTTTGTATTTTCTCCAAGTGTATTAAAAATAACTTTACAGAAACCTTGTGAACTGGAAACAAAACCTGTTGTTTAGTCCAAATGAGTCTGGAAGCTGGTTTTGATTCTCACAACAGTCACTGAAAGGTTTTCATTTGTGCTTGAATCAAAATAATTTGTTTTGGCTCTAACGAGAGGTTCAGATCTCAACTCCGATGTAGCAGTGAGATTTTGATCTGTGCTTGCTTTCAGATCCTCCAGGATGTGCAGGAAAGCAGTGGGAGTCTGGTCACACTCCCAGCACTAATATTTACTTTATACAGGGCCTTGGAAAAAAAAAAATAGAAATTGCTTTTTAAAAGGTCTTCAATGCCAAACTTTTTTTTTTTTTTTTTCCATTTTGCAAGATTCTGAGGCTTATGTTGCATTTTAATTCTACCAAGTGTTTAAACATCTGGTTAAATCCTGCTTCAGCCAGAGCTTTGTCCAACAAAGGAACAGTTCCCAGCTCCCAAAGTGGAGACTATGCAAGTAGCTAGTACACCAGCAGCTCCTTGGTATCAGAGAAGTACCTACTCCTCTGCCTTGAAAATGCTAAAAAGACTGGGCTACACATGTGGCTAAATGACTCAAGGGATTTAAAGTGGTCAAAGACTATGTGATGTCCTCAAAAAAAATCCTGATTAACACAGATACTTACACCATGGACTTTATGGAAGTAGCATTATTTTTAGACTAAGGGTCATAGGTATTGATGCCATTGGATCAAATGTGCATATATTTCATGTATGACTTATTAATAGTCTGGAACACAATAGTACTGAAATGACTCTAAACTAGAAACTTTCCAACTGCAAGCAAAATTTCCTTAGTTTAATATAGAATAATTTTTGGCATAACGAGATTTTGTTGCTGCTTATAGAGCATGATTAATGGTTAATACAATAAGAAATACATTAAATAGACCATTCTTATTGCATTAATGTTTGCATTGTGATGCAATTTGCACTGTATTAGTTCAATCACTGGCTCCACAGCTATATCTGCACGTGTACAATGATTCCTTTAAAATCTATTACAGCCTCAAAGGTAGCATGCATTGAAAGGACAGCTTGGCATCTTCTTCTCAAAGATGATGAATTTGAAATGAACTGGAGTAACAGTCATCAAAGTATTGATGAATATAAATTTCCAAGGAAAACATACAGAAAACAGGCTCTTTCCCACAGGAATGTAGAGAGTATTTCCACCACAAAATTTCTCTTCCATGCAAACAGTATAAAAAATTAATAAATGACAGTTGTAAAAACTGAAATAGATAGGGCATATTTTCTGAGAGAGAAAACTATCTTTGACATCTCTGTAAAAATTTAGTAATAGGGACAGAAAGAATTTCCTCACAGCTGTGCCTGAACACAAAGGAAAGAGCAACTGAGCCTCTGCATGCACCCTGCCACAGAATCTGCCTCAGAATCCAGACCTGGATGAACAGATTCATTAATAAATAAATAAATAACCCCACAAATTTGCAACAGGCCAAGCAGAAGTCCTGCACCTAAAGTGCACATTTTCCCCATTTCTGATCACAAGTCAAATTCTTCTCCTCAAGGCTGTGGCATTGGCAGCCAGCAGAAATCATCTTTCAACTTGACAGGAACTTGCACCAAAAGATGCTAACTCTGGTCCAATTCTTCCCCTTGCAAAATGGAACCATTTCAGATTTTTTTCCCCAGAAGCAGATATTTAAGAGAGCTGAGCATCCTCTGCACACAGCCACTAAGAGGTGTGGAGAAGGAGGTCCCATTCCCTCTGTCCCTTCTAAAAGGAGGGCCCTTGACCTCTCTTACATCCGCTCTCATAAATACAGGATTTTCCTAAGCAGAGAACTCTATGAATTTCTGGAGGCTGCAGATATCCTGACTTTACCTTCTACCTCATCACATGAGTCAAGGAAGCAAGGGCAGATGTTAGCCTGTCTGGTGCACGGTCATGATGTGCCAGATGTTTCCAAAGTCACGGGACAAGGTGAGGACAAGGAAGAGTCTTCTGCAAAGGTATCGATCCCCTGACTTTTTTCTGGCAACCGTTCCAGAGACACAGGCTGGCAGTAATTAAAAGGACTTACACACTGGGCTGGTTTCAAACTCAAATCTTCGGCTGAAGCCACCATAGCCAGCAGCTGTCCGGGCTCGGATCTGGAAGACGTATGCAGAGCCTGGTTTCAAGCCATCTGCTGTAATCGTCGTCTCTTTGGATTTGATGATAGTGTAGCTCGTCTCCTGGTCCTTTTACCAACCCCCACCCCGAAAAAAAAGACACAAAGTTCAAACACACAAATAGTAGCTCTAAGAGAAGATAGACTCTTAACAACGCCCCCCCCCCAGCAACATTACAAAGGATGACTAAAATATGCATCTTTGTGGATCTCTTCCTCAAAACTGCCCTTCTGAAGGCCCTTTCTGCAGTACAAATGTGAGATATGATTTTGTCCTTTATAATCAATGACTCTAGGAGGTATGAAACAGAACACTGGGATTTTCCACCCAGAAATGATAATACAGGGACCAAACTGACATCTGCAGTAGGAGCAGCTTTCCATTGCTTGAGACGTGCACAGCCTGGGGCAACTGAAAAGTTCATCCTACAAAGATCAATCCCAAGGCAGGGGTAAGTGGAAAAAAAAGTCCCACTGCCTTAGAAAGGGATTTTCATTTATAACAAAATGACTACCCAGTAATGTAATTAGATTTAAAAGAGAATAATATATTATACATTGTACAACTTTATGCTGGCATTTCTGGAACCACAAATTAGACCTTGGGAAGGGAATAATAAACCAAAACTCCAGGAAAATACCTAATTTTGCATTGTTCTTCTGAAGCATTGAACTTGCAAGAAAAATTGCTGAAATAAATCTTCATTTACATCAGTTTCTAATGTGAAAGAGTTTCAGTTCTTTGATTAAAATTTCACTCAAATGCTTGGTAATTACTCTTAGAATTATTTACTGTAGTGCATATTCTAGACAAGAGCTCATAAATTAAGGTCTACAAACTTGGAAACTGCTTTTTATTCACTCTATCCTCTCAGATCCAAATTATTATGAGGTAAACAGGAGTTCTTAGTAGTTCCCTATCAATAGTTCTGCATAGCTCTTAGGATCTGAACTGATTTTTATCTTCTCTTTTTAATTTAATGGGCAACATTCCATAGACAGTAATGTGCTTCGGTAAGGCCCTGGGAATCTGCAAATGCAGGATATTTTGTAGGAAGTGTCGGAAAATCTGTAAATTTTTTCATTGAAGCCTGTAGCTATCCATGACCATTTTGGAAATATGTGTGTGTGCGGGGGGTATATCTATGCCTTTTTTTGCCTTGTTAAGGAGCAATCTGGCAAAACTCAATTTTCCAAAACATTTCATATAGATCATTTTCATCCCTTGGAAATTAATGTTCTGAGTTTACCCTTAGGAAAGACTGAAAACCGAGGGAATATAAATGACAGCAGCAACAAACAAGAAGGATTACGAATGACATCCCAAATCTAACTCAATGACTGTTTAAAAAGCAGTAAGTGAATATTAGGTCATATCTTTGCTTGTATGTCAGCACAATTAGGTTTTCAATACTCTGCTGGCTTCTCCAAACATTTAAATACTTGAGCCTTCCTATAGAAAACCCTAAGCTTCATACTGTAAAGACAAGACTTCATTCTGAAAGAAATACATCAAATCAGCCTAAATTTAGGCTGGCTGTAGCTACCTCCCCGTGAAGGACTTGCATTTGAAGAACTATTTACTGAAGCTATTTGACTAGTTCTGTACCACTAATAAAACATTTTAAGCCCAGCCCATCCCCTCCTCCCCCAACTTGTTTGAAAACAAAGTAAAACAAACAAACTTATGGATTTTTCTGCATTAACTATTTGCTCATTATTAAGGTTTCTAGAGGCTAATCTTCCCAGGTCACTCCATAGTAAGGATTCAATGGGCTACAACAGTCAAACAAGTTAATAAAAGAATCAGTAATGGATTATTTCCCACAACAGCTTATTCTGATTCTTGATTTGTGCTTTCATCATTTTGAAAACCTCAGCCCTATTTAAGCCACACATGCATCATGTGCCCTTGCCCAAGGTCCCTCAACTTGCAAAAATACTCTTGATTTTATCCTGATGCAGAAGATTTCAGAGATTTTTTTTCCCCTGTTTGCATGGGCTGCTTGAGCAAGTCCCTGCCATGATCAGAGAAACAAGAGAGGAGGATTAAGGACACAGTCCTGGTCCATGTTGAGTGGTTGCATCTGGATCAAAGACAAAACTAATAGAAGATCTTCCTTAAAATAGAAATTCAACCCCCCAAAAGTGAACTGTGACTCCATTTCATTATTTCTCTCTCGTTTTCGTGTAAAAATCCAGGCTGTTTCAGAAGAAACAAGGACACCTTACAATACCAGCTAAGGCACAAAACTTCTACTCAGCCAACCCTTGCAAACCTGATTTTTGGAAACACAAGATTTCCAAAGATCTAAGGTTGCATTGCTCAAAAGATGCTATTTAGACAAAGTGCATTTGCTGCCATTTTCATTTAAACTGTATTTAATTTTGGAGGAAGAGAAAAATTGATCACTGGAAACGAAGACTAGGAGAGGCAAGTTTTGCAGGAAGAGAGAGAGCATTTCCCATTAGAGCAAGAGCTTGAAAATCCAGGCAAGCTTTTAAAGCCAGGATGCCCTTCTTCATGTTAGGGGAGATGCAATCTCTACACAAAACCTTTCTCCTCTCCTTACACCGTGGATGCAAAATCAGGTGAGAAATTGAAATACCAAAGGCAAAGGACAGCCTGATGTTTCCGGGAGGAGATACATGCTCGATCCTCAACCCCTCCTATTTTTAACAAATGAGCAGGCTCTATCTTAATGTGATAAGGCTGGAGAGGAATCTGACACACAGATTTAATGTATTTGTTCAAGAGAAGTGGCATACTAATGGAAAACAACACCCTCATTTCAAGTCTTCCTAATCATTTACTGCAAAATCAATCTGACATTGATTTATGCATAAAATTGCTCCATTCCTTTCCAGGACTTAAATAATTATTACTAAAAGAAGAGGACAGTAAAGAGAAGGTACTTGGGATGCTCAGCAATCAGTCCGTCACACCTTTTCAAAATATTTGATTTCGTATTCCAGGATGATGCCGTTGGGTCGATCTGGCTCCTGCCAGGAAAGGGAGATGCTATTTTTAGTTATCTTCCCTTTTTTCACACTACTGACTGGAGAAGGTGCTGCAAGACAGGAGAAAAACAGAACAGACAAAAACTACGGTTAGTAAGTCGGTCTTGCATCCTCAAATGCAAGGTGATCTTTTAGCTACTGCAGATCAGCAGGGTCTGTTTTCACCTCCGTGGTATTTGCCTGCTTTTAGTGACTGGACTAGTACAGATTTTCAGCAGCTGAGGATCTGACCAGCACCACCCACCTGAGCAAAGTTACAACATAAGCTACTATCAGCAGCTCACACACCAACGCTGTCTTTTCAAGCACTTTTCAAACACATCAACCCTGCAACTTGCCTTTTCAGATGTGTCGGGGGCTACACTGCCACAATCACATATGGATTACATATTGCTTTCTTTTGCTTGCCTGGAAGGTATCTATTTTTTTTTTTTTTCTTTCAGAAAACCTCACATAATGTGGGCTTCTTAACTATTTTTTGACTTGTACAGAAGTTAAAAGCCTAGGCATCTTTCACCCCCCTCCTTCCAGAAGCAAGGAACAGGGTAGAAAGGCCATTACAAGCTTTATAATTCAGTTGTGCTCCATAAATATCGCTGGGGTGTTACAACTCACACAGCAATGCTAATTCCTTGCAAATGGCAACTGTAAAGATTTTAATGGCAGCCATGGTTTGGAAGCTCATGGCATGCTTGGGGAAGCCGCAGCATGAAAGCAGCTCTACCAGCTCTGCTGATTATTTTAAGATTCAGCCCTGAAAGGTTATCTGCCCTTTGCAGCACACATGTGCATCAGAAACAGGCTGGATCCTTTGTTTTCAATCCAGTATCTGCAGAGACTTTTCAAGTTGTGATTGCTACCACCCCTGCCAGCTCCTTAGCAAAAGTTGCTATGGGCAATGCAACCCTAGCACCCCAGGTATTTCATGCCAGAGATTAGCAAACAACACTGAGAGAAAAGAAAAGGGGACGGGAGAAATTCAGTCTCTAATATACAGGGCCAAGAGCAGCTTCTCCAGAGGAAAACCAGCCCATGCCTGCCCAAGGGCCTTTGACTTACCCTCTGGACAGGCCAGTTCTCAGCAAGGATTAAAGGGGGGCTGCGGAGACCCAAAGCAAAGACCTTTGTGACCACATGGGGAACTGAGTGCAAAGAGCAGTAGCAAAGGACCACATTTTATCTTCCAAAATGTATTGGAAAGCATATTTAAAAAAAAAAAAAAAAAAGTCTTCTCCTATATGCAGGACTAGCTAATTACCATAACGCTAAAAAAACCCTCAACCCATTACGTAAAATAAAGACAACAAGCAAATTAATTCTGCCAGGTCTGATCTTCAGCCAAAAAGAGTAAGGGAAAAGCTCCAGACAATTATCCCTGGACTGAAGGCTAGCAGCAAGCCTTTTTTAAAGCAAGCTCCTGCATATAAGTCTCTTTTTAGCCCCAGTTTTTCTCACTCCTGTTTACTAATCTCTCCCCTACTTGGCTCTTGGAAGATCCTGAAAAGTACTGGCCATTTCCATATTGTTTTCTGCTGGAGAGCTGGCATCAAGCTCCACAGACAACACACACTTTTTAGCTGTGCATCCACCACCGTACTCCCAAATGCTCCACTGAGCAAGTAAACACCACCTTGATTTGAATGATGAGCATGTTATTTATGCAGGCACCACACGGTGATCACCAACAATTTCTCATCTGCAAAAGTCACCTTACCCTCAGCTGACGTCCTCCACAATTTTTTGGGCTATGTGAAGGCGAATAACAACCTAGACTCAAACAGCTAATCTGGTCTGGGACCTCCCATTAATTAATATTAATATCAGGTGCCTAAATATGTCTTCTGCATAAGTGTTCACAGCAAGTTGAGTTGTGCTTGTGAAATATACTGTCCGTGCACATACGTATAGTCAGATGTGTTAGCCCAGAGAAGACATTGTGAGTCATGAACTCTGCTAAAATAGGAGGAGCTTCACTTCTAAGACAAAAGGGAGCTACGTATTTTTCAGAGGCATTGGAAAAAAAGTCTCACTGTGGGGTGGTCATGCCAAGTAACACATGATGCTACCACCCCAATTAAATTGATGATATGGAGGAATCACTTTTTGTCATGCTATATATAATGGGATGGAGACACACATGCACACTAAAGGGACCTGTGTTCCTCTGAGACTGTTCTCCAATGTCCCCAAATCCCTACAACACCTATCCCAGCCTTGCGGAACTGGCAGCAGAGGTCTGGCAGGATGGAGAAAGTCAGCTGAGCATTAATCCTTTTTAAACTTCTATTAGCAAAACCAAACTTGAGAAGTGCAGCGAGGGGAGACTTCAGCATTCCTTGGTATTGAACGGCTCTCAGGAAGGTGAAAACCATGCAATTCTCAGTGTCAAGACTGCCTGACCAAATAATGGACTTCTCATCCACTTTATTGAGGTTTCTTGAAGTGTTTACAGGACTGAGGCTCACAAGTGTTTTAAAAACAAGAGAATGATGCAAGCGCTCCTGAACTCTGCTGAAAAATCTTTCCCTCCTAGGTCCAGAGTTTGGCTCTCCTTCACGTGCATCAGCACAGTGTAACACAAAATGCACCACCAGCCATCCAAAAGTGCCCATCATACTCTCTACTCCCCCAAACCTGAACATCCTCTTTAAAAAGCAGTGTATAAAAAGCTCGGCTAGTTAACAGCCGCATGGACTTAAATCCCTGCAACACACTCAATCATGGCTCTGCAGAATGCTCTACTCTACTGGGAAAAAGAGGAAAGATAAGAAAACGTGTAACCCAACTCTCAGAGTAAATTAGAAAAGGAGTAACTGTATCCTTTTTGAATCTCCTTCAAAAGAAGCGTTAAAGTGTAACTGTGAGATAAAGGGCAATTAAGTAAATTCAATAAATCCCAGCAGTGCTGGGATGATACAGCAACTACTCTGCATCCTCAACACAGGGAAGATTAGGATGCTGTGAACTGAAGGAAGGAAGGTATAAGTATTTTAGAGTTTTCTTTGTCAAACAAAATGTAATTCAATCCAGGCAAGCAGACAAAGTCTGCAATCATTCCATCTTAAAAGCCTGCAACTGGATACTGTGCTATATGATCTCAGGAAAATAAAAGGATTACTTGAGACTTGCTTTTCAAAGGTCACTGCTTCTGCAAGGGCAGCATCCTCTTAACAGAAAGAAGCCAAGCCACGGAGCATTTCCAACATGTGAAAAAATAAATTCACTAAAAGTCAAGATACATAAAGCTGTAATCTCCCATGCTTCTTATGTAAGCAGGCAGAAGTCTTGTTCAAATCCCTACCTTGACACTCCAAAGGGTGGATGTATATGTTGTGAATTGTTTGCACGCTGCTTTACAAACAACCTGCACATCCGCATTAATTTCTCAGTAAGACACTCAGAATCAAAGAGGGATATTACATCATTTATGTTTATGTCTGCCATTCATGGAAACAGCCATGCATGTGATGAAAGCAAACAGAAGGTGTAACAAGGTGTGAAATTGCTAATGTACATTTTTGCTTTCCTGCGACCAAAATTAATCAGGAAATGAATAAAAAGCACAGAAAACTGATTCATTTGTTTGTTTGTTCTGTTTCTAACATTTCTGAAGAAGAGTAAGAGGAATAAATAAATTCAAGTTTCTGCAGAAGATGCATCATTAGTCACATCTGAATAACTACAGGAGATGATTTTATGAGGAATAGACCTGTTAGGACATTCTTCCTTTGCAACCTTTGATAACATTAGCATTGAATTAGCCATCTAGTTACCAAACCTGGTATTTACAACAAGCCATCTAGGTACCAAACCTGGTATTTACAACATGCTGTGCTGTGTTCCATTAATGTCTAACATACAATGATGCTTAGTGGAATAAAATGTTAATTATAATTTAAGAGAAACTAATGTTTATCAGGTGAATGACCACTGCACCAAGATAAAACAAATAATCCAGTTTCTCTGCCTCATGGTCTATCTAATGCTCTCTCCAGCCCAATTACTTTTGCCTTGGTATTTTTCACTCTGGCAGAAACAACAGTTAATGGCCTCCTATCTCACCCTTTGCCTCACAGCCAGTGAAGTTTTCCACTTCTGATTAAAAACATTAAAAAAAAAATAATTTACTAGCTCTCTTTACCCTCAGTGCAAAAAGAAACCACCAGCCCAGGACCTTCAATCTAGCTTTAACTTCTGCCAGAACAGACCTTCTCAACTTAGAGCAACCCAGAGTAGCACAGGAGGAGATGCTGATTTACATGGGCAAAGGGTCTGGCACCTCTCCTTGCTTTGGCTCTCCTGGTATCTGGGCTTCAGGTCCTTCTCCAAAGAAAATGAAGGCATCAAAGCTGAACATTCTGCTCTTATAGACATTTATGACACAGATGTCTATATAGATAGACATCCTTTATAGACATCTATGCTATGAATTTTCATTTATTTTTCATGTGCTTGCAATTTCTTTCATTGTGATTACATTTCTGTATGTGCAGATGTTTGGGATCTAACACTTCAGACCTCGCAACAGACCCTGGAGTTCTTCCCTCCAAGTGATTCCACACTTCTTTTGCAGTCTGAATTTATGCCAGAAGATTTAAAAGTCCATTTTGTGCTTGTGATTAAATCAATACCTTCACCTGTCATCATATAAGCAAATAGTTATGCTATCATTAATGTACTTATAAAGCCAGGTTTAACTGAAGAAAAATGAAGCCTCTATCAGAAGAGTAATCACAAGACAAGTCTGGTTCCACTTCAAAAGCCTGGTATACTGCAATTTTTCACTCAGTTTCTAATTAACAACATTATTGAATTTTTTTTCTCTCAGGCCTTTGGTGACTTCAGAATTTGGAACAAGACTTGCATTATTCAGCAAGTCACACTAAAGGTACACAAAATGGCAGGCAGCTTCAAGCAGTAGATTCCTTTTAAACAAGATACATATATTAGTTAAACCAGAAACACTCTTTTGAAAAGAAAAAAAATACTTCACTGTATTATCTCTTTGCATTCCTGTCTAGAAACGATATAATTTTAGAAAAGCCCAACA